GACGTGAGCGAAAGGAGGCGCTGTGGACGCTGAGAAGTTGCACTCGAAGCGAAAGCGGCCTAGGTAGACGCGAGCGCCACCCGGCCAGCCACAGTTCGTCCCCTGGAGACAGAAGCATCCCTGCTTTTCTCGGGGCGGCTTTGCGACCTACTCGCCTGCGAAGCTCAGACCTTGCTCCCCGCTTTGTCCCGTAACGCTGCAAGTCCAGTCGGACCTTATTCGAGATGCTAACCCTTTTAGCGTCTCATCTTGCCGAGCACCTTCTTTTAGCAAATGTGAACCCTGAGACCCAAGAGGGGAAATAGCTCCCATATGACAAGTGGGAGCTGGCTGAGGACTCCTCAAGATAAATGGGAGGAGAGAAACTACTTGGTTAGGTGTCGGGGTTTCTGAGTGTTTATCTTCTGCGTCCTCACTGTGTGCTAGTCAGCCATACATTGGATCGGCAGCGGCCGCACCTCCCAGGACTTGCTAGAGGTATGAAGACAAAACCCTAACTACTGGGGTCGGCAGGTGGCCTGGTGGTTAGAGGCTCTGGACCCCCACGTGGCCGACTTCAGGTGGAGTCCCAGACCTGGCGGCTTGCTTTCTCGCGTTCCCTTTCTCTCTTGTCTCTGTCTGATTAAATTAAAAATGATAATAAGAAATGGAATTATAAATGAATTCTTATTTTTTAAAAAGAAAACTCTGACTACTTTCCCCACTCTAAAAATGTTCATTGTCCAAAGGGCCTGGGGGAGTCATGTCTACATAATTAATCTTGCCGTAATAGACCGCTTTGGCCCTGTAATCCTAGGATGCTCCCTATATCCTGTCCCTGGCATAGTGTTTTTGTTTGATTTTATTTATTGGGGGACCAGCAGGTGGTTGGTGCTTGAGGTGCTGGACTCACAGGATCAACTGTGGACCAAGCCCAGGACCTGGTTGCCTACTTTCTCTCACAAGTTCTTTCTCTCTCTCTCTGGTTAAAAAAACTTTAATGGGGGCTGGCAGGTTGCGTAGTGGCTAGGGTCACTGGAATCCCACATGACGGACCGCAATTCGAGTCATGGACCTGGTGGCTTTTTCACTTTCTCCCTCTGTTGCTTTCTAGTCAAATTTAAATAAATAAATTATGTTAAATAATTATTTTAAAATAATAATAATTAATAAAGTTAAATAAATAAATCTTTTTTTAAAACGAATTATTTGTTGGGGGACCAGCAGATGGTGAAATGGTTACATCTTTGAGCTGTGGTTTGTGTCTCAACCCGGTGACTTAAAACTCAGGCCGGATACACATGCATGTGTGCCCAGGATCCTGAGAGAAGAATGGAGAAGGGATTGTGGCCTGGCCATACCCCCTGGGGGGTGATTTATTATTTTCTCTCAGACTCTGTCTCTCCAGCAAGCTCAGGTGCCCTATAGCAAAAATCCCTCTCTCAAAAATAAAAAAAATAAAAGAATTATCTGGACCAGTGGTTGGTGTAATGGCTATGTTGCTGAACTCTCATGTAGTCGACCACAGTTCGGGTCCTGGATCTGGTGGCTTGAACTCACACCAGGTGCGTGTGCATGCGTGCCCAAGATTCCGAGAGGAGAATGGAAGAGAAGGGATTGCAGCATGGCCATCCCCCCCTCCGGGGTGATTTCTTGTTTTCTGTCTCTCTGTCTCTCTGGCGAGTGCACATTCCCTATAGCAAAAACCTCTCAAACACATACACACAATTAATTATAGGTGCCAGCAGGTGGCATAGTGTTAAGGCACTGGACGCCCACATGGCCAGCCGCGGTTCAAGTCCCAGACCCAGTTGCTGTAAACACACTGGGTACATGTATGTCCAAGCCTAAAGTCCTGAGAGGAGAATGGAGGAAAAGGGATTGTGCTTAGCCATACCCCCTGAGGGTTGATTCCTTGCTTTCTGTCTCTCTGGTGAGCACCTGCAGCCTTATAGTAAAAATCGCTCAAAAAAATGTATTAGTTTAATTTTATTTACTATTTTTTAAATTGACCAGAGAGAGCATTCTTTTTCTTTAGGTTTTTGTCATAGGGTGCAGGCACTTGCCAGAGAGGATAGAGAGAGAGAATGTGAAAACTCATCCCCCCCACTGGGAAGAGGGGGGTGACCAGCTACAATTCCTTCTCCACCTTTCTCCTAGGATTTGGGGCATGCACACACGTGCACCCAGAGTGATTTTTGGCATGATTCTCAAGCCTCAGGGTCTAGTACTGGAACCACTCTTAGCCATGTGGTAGTCCAGGGTCTTAACCACTACACCTCCAGCTGGCTTCAATATAGGCATTGTTTTGCTGACTCTATGCCTGTTGAAACAAAGGTTTGTGTTTTTCTTTCTTTCTTCTTATTTTATTACAAACCCTTGTGCTGAGGGTTGACTCTCAAGAACACAGTGAGGGAACACCCTACTGCACATGAACCCCGACCCAGAAGCAGGTCGCCTAAGAATGGTTTGGCACCAGGCTTCCCCACAAACGTGAGTTCCGTGATGGACTAGGAAGCAGCCCCCTTTCCAGCCCAGGACGCAGGGCTCTCCTCATCAGATTCCAGGCCAGACGTGCAGCGGGCCGCCTCATGTGCCACAGTACACACGCCAGCCTACCGGCAGGGATGGCAGGAGACCAGCTATGTGAGGCCAACTATGGCTCACTGGCTCGGCCTCATATAGCTCATAAATTGGCCTTGGAGGGATTCTGATTTAGAGGCGTTCAGTCATAATCCCACAGATGGTAGCTTAGCCCCATTGGCTCCTCACAAAGACTTGGGCTTTGTTTTTTTTGTTGTTGTTTTTTGTTTTGTTTTTGAGAGAGGTTTTTCGCTATAGGCGCAGTGCACTCGCCAGACAGAGAGAGACAGAGAGACAGAAAGCGAGAAATCACCCCCAGGGGGGATGGCCACGCTGCAATCCCTTCTCCTCCATTCTCCTGTTGGGATCTTGGGCACGCACACATGCACACCCAGCGTGAGTTTAAGCCACCGGGTCCGGGACTCAAACCGCAGTCGACTACATGGGAGTCCAGCAACATAGCCATTACGCTAGCTAACTGTTGGTCCCTTGTGCTTTGTTTTGTTAAAGAGTGATTTGTGGGATCGGCAGGTGGCATGGTGGTTAAGGGCACTGGACTCCCACATGCCCAACTGCTGTTCGAGTCCCAGACCTGGTGGCTTGCTTTCTCACTTTCCCTCTCTCTCTTTCTCATCCCTTCCACTCTGGTCAAATTTAAATAAATAAAGTTAATAAAATAATTATTTTTTAAAAAGAACTATTTGTTTATTTAATTCTGTTTGTTATTATAATTGGTATCACTTTTTTAATTTTACCAGAGAGAGAGAGACAAAGGAAAAGCGAGAAAGGAAGCCTCCAGGTCCGGGACTCGAATCGCAGTCGACCATGTAGGAATCCAGCACTTTTAACCACACGCCACCTGCTGGCCCCTTGTTTTGTTTTGTTTTTAAGGGAGAGATTTTTGCTACAGGGCATGTATGCTCACCAGAGAGACAGAGACAGAAAGCGAGAAATCACTCCCCAAGAAGGATGGCCACACCACAATCCCTTCTCCTCCATTCTTCACTCAGGATCTTGGGCACACATACCTGGCATGAGTTTTATGTTACTGGGGGCCCGGGACTCAAACCATGGTCAGATACGTGGGAATCCAGTGACATAACCATTATGCCATCTGATGGTCCTAAGACTTGTGTTTTTAACCAATTACTAACTCGAATTTCTTTCTTTCTTTAGAATTATTTAATCTTATTCATCATTGGTACCAGCAGATGGCATAATGTTTACGTCACTGGACTTACACCTAGTCAATGGAAGTTCGAGTCCTGGGCCCATCCGCTTAAAATTCATGCAGGGCACATGTGTGTGCCCAAGATCCTGAGGGGATGCTGGAAAAGGGACTGTAGTATGGCCATCCCCCCTGGGGAGGTGATTCTCACTTTCTGTCTCTGTCTCTCCGGCAAGCACAAGTGCCCTATAAAAATCTCACTAAAAATAAAAAACGTATTCACCATCATTATTATTTTAATTTGACCAGAGAGAGAGAGAGAAAGTGAGCTGCCAGGTCTGGGACTTGAATCACAGTTATGTGTGAGTCCAACATCTTAACCACCACACCACTGGCCAGCCCGACCTATGAATTTAAAAAAAAATTATTATTTAATTTTATGCATTATTGTTACTATTTTTAAATATGACGAGAGAGAGGAAAAGTGGGAAAGCAAGTCGCTGGGTCTGAGACTCAAACCGCGGTCAGCAACGCCAGAGATCAGCGTCTCAACCACCATACCACCTGCCAGCAGCCCTCCCACAACCTATGAATTTCTAAACCCACCTATAACCTACAAGCCCTGGCTTCCAGCTGTGCCGCCTTTCTGGGCCAAGCCCATGTAAGGATTCCATATGCTGGTTCGCAACTCTGTCTTCTGCTCTCAGAACCGGCATGAAAAGAACTCCCGCCATCTGAGCACCCAAAAATGCTGTGTTTTTCTGAGCCTGGTCAATCATATTTGTCTTTAGAACAAACTGTATTGTTTTCTGTAGAGCCTTGGTTATTTCTGTCAACAGCAAATTTTGTGACCCCATCTCAGATCTACTGAATTAGAAATTCTGAGTGGGATCCTTCCTGGCGTTTGAACGCCCTCCAGGTGGCGCTGTGTGCACTGTGCTGTGTGAGAT